AGATTTCATCCTCTCACACCTAGTTTTAATTCAGAGATTGGAAGAGGAAAACAAGCTTTCCTGTTTTTTCAACTCCCAGTTCGTTTCTTAACTTTGAATGAATTATTCATTGAGCTGAACTAGTTGAATAAACTGAAATGAAGAAAATATTCTGGATGGGGGGAGGGATAGTTCAGTGGTTTGAGCATTGGCCTGCTAAACCCAGGGTTGTGAGTTCAATCCTTGAGGGGGCCATTTAGGGATCTGGGGCAAAAATCTGTCTGGGGATTGGTCCTGCTTTGAGCAGGGGGTTGGACTAGATGACTTCCTAAGGTCCCTTCCAACCCTGATATTCTATAATTCACTCTGTACCTGCAGAAGAAATTACTGCTGTCAAAAGCTGGTATGACCTTCAATGAACTCTGGTTTCAGGTGCTTAGCCCATGACTTCCACAAGTTCACTGATTTGTCTTTCTTTTCATATTTGCTGCCAAATTTTACTGCTTTAATAATTTTTTTTAATTTAATTTAAATGATTTTAATTAAAAAACATTTAGGACTAAAATGGGTTGTCAATTTTAAATTTAATTTCAAATAGGTTTATTTTTTTTAAATAATCATTTAATTGAAATGGAAAGAATCAATTTTTACTCACCCTTATCATTAACTTATGTATACTGAAAATTTAAATTATACACATACTAAGTCTGAATATTAACTTCTCCACACAAGTGTACTAAAACTTATCCATAACTCTATAAAAGATATTTATTATTTATTTAATCCATCGATATTTATTTACTAATGCATTTTAATGTGTGGGTTAAGGGACTTTATTAGGAAGACCAATGCTACATACAGGACTGTATTAACCCATCACTGAGCCCTAGGCAAACATACATTTCTGGGCCCCCTGCCTTCTAATATGAATAACAACAAACATCTGATAAATGAAAGAAGGGAAAAATATATACCTAAATGATGTTCCCTTGCATACATGCCACTGTAGTAAATTCCCATCCCAGCCTGTTCACTTGTTGCTGTTGGAGAAGCAAGTAGTTTCTTTACCCATGCCTTCCTCTCTCTTTGGCTTTGTTGGGAAAGGGAAAGTGAGTTTTTTAGCTGTGTGTGAGGACTGTCTCTGCCCACTCATCCTCTGGTGCAGATTTGCATGTGCAAACAGAAAGAACTTCACTCACTTGAGTGAGTGGCATTTGCAACTTTTTTAGTTTGCTCTAGGGAACCAGAACACAAATCTGGGCCTTAGGTACATGCCTAGTTGCCTATGGGTTAATCTGGTTCTGGCTCCATGAAGGATGGATCTGGGGATGGGGGTGATGCAGTCCCTGGACACAAATGACTCCATGCTTTAAGGACTCTTCCTGTGCTCCTGCCTCAGCTCTCCAAGCAGTGCTGCCTTGGTGTGCAATGGAGCTGAAGCAGCAGTGCCATGAGGAACCTTTCAAGTGTGTGTGTGTGTGTGTGTGTGTGTGTGTGTGTGTGTGTGTGTGTGTGTGTGTAAAAATCCTCTCTCCATATTTATAATAATCATAACAATTAGGTACACCATCATTAATAACGTCGCTTGATTACAGCTTAATTTCTGCAAGTGTATCTTCTATACAAGGTTTCAATGAGCTTGAACTATATGGAAAGTTTGACGCATCTATGTGCTTTTCTTCTGTTAAAATGATTCCAGAAAAATACAAAAAAGTCTGACACTAGTTATATTTAATTAAATATTAATTTAAAATTAATTTTAATTTACAAACTAATTAAGAGATTTAACAAATTTTCAGAAATTTCATTCTATATTCAAAAAATAAATGCTATAATTTTGGTGAGAATATACTATCTATTCTTCCTAAGTAAAAAAGAGGGTAAATCCCTGCTATAATGACAAAACTCATCATTATAGCAGGGATTCACCCTCTTTCTTACTTATGAAGACTCTGTGATGGAGTCATGACAGGCAACAGATAAATATATTACATTATTTGATTTCAACTACTACGGAGTAGTTGGAATTGGTTTATTTTGTTGCATTACAGTAAAACAAACATGTTTTTTCTCTGTCAGAATGGTTTGTTAAGAAGCATCTTTTGTCCGCTATACACTTAGCAAACCTTTCATGTGTACTGGATTTCACTGGATAGTCTCCATTTTGGCTGAATCCAGCTGCCTGTTCCACTGCACCAGAAGAGCAGGCAGTGTTGTGAGAGAGAGTGAACCCCATTAGCCTAGGGGAGTGCACTGAGTTGTGAGCCAGGTCAGAGATTTCTTCTTCTGACTGTTGTTTGTATTTCTATGCACTTCACAGACCTTATTATTGACCTAAGTCTCATGCCCCAACCTTAGAAAACAGTTAAGTATTAGCCCTTGTGGTTTTACAAACAAACTAATGGAGAGGTGTCCGAGGCCACTTCAAATAGATTTGGGATAAGAATGCAAGTCTCCAGTATCTTATCCACTCAGCTACACTGCCTTTCAGATTGAATGTGCCAAATGAATGTATTTTAGTGATCTTACCTCTAACCACTACATGACATGCCCTTCCCAAATCTAGGAACAGAATTGAAGATTTCTGATTTCCAGAATTCTGCCTTTTTTTTTTTTTTTAAATGAAGAATATTGGAGATCAGAAATCTTGAATTCTCAAATGATTTGAATTCAAGTTGAATGAACAGATTTGTCTTCTAATTTAAAGAGGTCCTGCTGTTTCAAATGGTCAACCAGTGCTCGCTAAGGTGGTATGGTCATTTGTTCCGAATACCTACCAACTTCATTGTGAGAACCATCTTTGACTTCTACCCAATGAAAACAGAATGGGAAAGCCAACAGGCATTCTACCTCATAATGTACCAGATTTGGTTCAGGACTGAACGCCATAGAGGCATGTAATGCATTTGGTGGCCTCTACACTGTCCAGACAGCATAAAAACAAATATTCTACTGCTGATCAGTCAATAGCTGTGTAATCCACTGGCAAAGTGTCAAATCCCCCTCTAGTGGTTGTTCTATGTAGAGCTGTGGTTTTCAACCTTTTTTCATTTGCGGACCCCTAAAAATTTTTGAACGGAGGGGCAGACCCCTTTGGAAATATTTGACATAGTCTGCGGACCCCAGATTGAAAACCACTATCTAGAGGGTAATATTTGCTCCTGTAATCTAAGTGGCAGAGGTCTGTGCTTGGGGTCCAAAATTCTAGGATTCAAACCCTGCTGATAACCCATATTGTGGGGAAGACCTTATGGTTGCATGTAATACCTTTTTTTCCTATTTTGTGTTTTAAAAACAAAATACAGCTGGTGTATTTAACTCACAGTGTGAAAAAAAATCCTCTAAAACAGGTTTTATCGTTAAAGCCTTTATAATCTGTCAGTTATGGTGCATTGTGTAACAAATTACAGGTGTTACATCTTTTGTTTACTGATGTCACACACTGGGAAGTTTGAAGGTTGTGAAGAATGCCTCTTAGTTTATTTGTGTTGATGTGATAGTAACTTGCTTTGTTGGGTAAAAGATGATTTTCTGTGATAGACCACAAGAAAAGCTCAGGAAACTCAGTTTCTCTGTTGGTCTCTACACCACAAAAGGTTCAACCTGGCATTCAGATTTCTGCTGTAAGCACTTTACCTGTCCAATTGCTGATCTGAAGGGGCAATGTTTGCATACACTTATGCACAGGCTGTCTTTACACATATTCAGTGATAAGGTGGCTCTAAATAAGCCCTAACAATTATTCCATAGGCTGTGAGAATACTTGGAACTATTAAATGCATCACTGCTAGACAAATTCAGATTGGAAATAAAACATAAATTTTTAATACTGAGGGGTAATTAGCCATTGGAACAATTTACCAGGGGTCATGGTGGATTCTTCATCACTGACCATTTTTGAATCAAAATCATCTCTTCTAAAAGATATGCTGTAGGAATTATTTTGGGGAAATTCTATGGCCGATGTTATACAGGAGGTCAGACTAGATTATTACAGTGATCCCATCTGGCCTTGGAATCTATGGTATCTTTCTGTCTGTGAGACAGATTGTATAACTATTTTAAACCAAAAAATAGGATACGAGTTTGTGATTTTAAATAAATTTTAATTGCAACTAATGTACAAGGATCATCTGGCTTTGAATAGGCACAGAATGCCAGTTTTGTTACAATTTTGGTGGTGTTGTAAATTGTCATATTTTGTGGTGTCCTGCCTACTGTCTTTCAGTTTCCACACTTCTCTCAAACTGACAACCAATCCTGTTTCTTAATCTTATTAGTTCACAGTGGTTGTTGTATTTAGCAAAAAGTAAAAACACAGAGTGAATTGGCTTAAAGATGTGTCCTTTAAAAAAAAAAAAAAAAAAAAGTAAACATCTGACATTTGTCTTCCCAACTGGAAATATTACTCTTGATTTGTATTTTCATGTTTCCCTCTTTAATACTTTCTTTTTTATTTAGATACTACTTTTTTAAAAAATGTACAGATTTACGTGGTAGCCAGCTACGTTTGATTGCTGCTTAAATCTACCAGGAATTTAGGATTTCTAGGATGAAAATAGAATAGGTTAACCAGCAGTGTTTATAACAAATTATCTTTTTGTTCTCCCTTTTTCCTATCCCCCATGGTATACTTTCTTAATTTACAATCTTAATTCACCTGGTTGGAAAATCGGTCTGTAACTATATTGTTATTAACTGTAACTAACTAAAATATCTACGATACTCTAAGTAATAATAACAACAAACTATAATGTGTTTGTTTAATGCAGTTTGTTCATTTAGATTCCAGGTTAGCTCTTTTTTCAACAGCAGTCCATTTTACTTTCAGGTAGAAATCTGAGTTTTTGAATGTTGCGTTAAGTAATTTAAAACCCCCCCAATATAAATTAAAAGCCTCCTTTAGTGATGAAAATAAAGCAAATGGATTGAAAGACCTCTCAGGGTCCCTTCCAGCCCTACATTTCTATGATTCTATGTTAAGTGCATTTTGAAAACATGTGTTTACTTTTTTTTAATAGGTAAAGCGGAATGTGTATGACCTAACTAGTATCCCTGTTCGTCACCAATTGTGGGAAGGCTGGCCTCCTTCTGCCACAGACGACTCAGTAAGTAGTTTCACCTCTTTTCACGTTTTCCAGTAAATATGTGACTGTTCACAGATTTATTATCCAACTCAGGTAAAAGCCTTTATTGTCCTTTGTTCAGAAAGTACAGCAATGGTAAGAGTGCAGGGAATTTAGGGCTTTATCCTTTGAGCCCCTTCGTCCTGCTCCCAGCAATGAATTGAAACATGTAAGTAGTTCCATGGAAGCTATTCACATGGGCAAACGTAAGTGCATGCTTCTGTGCATTGTTGGGTTGGAGCCAAAGTGCTCGGTACTTTTAAGGATCAAGTCCTTGCTGAGATGAGAAAGCAATGGGAATACTTGTGGTGCACTGTGGTCCCAATTCAGGAAAGCATCCCTTGTTTAGGAAAGCACTTAAAACACATGCTTATGTATATTCCTGAATTGGACCCAGAGCCCCAATTCACCAAGGTATTTAAGCAAATGTGTAACTTCAAGCAGGTGAATAGTCCAATTGAAGTCAATGGGACTACTTTCATGTTTAAGTATATACTTCACTATCTTGCTGATCCAAGGACTATGCTCAGCTGTAAGACTTTAAAAGGTTGCACCCAAAATTAAGCCACCCGTATACACAGAATACATATAAACTTGTAGCTGATTAGAATGTGGAGGACATTATTTCCAATTCCTACCTGGTAATTTTAAAATTCCCAATATTGAAAATCAGAGGAAAATATTCATTTGTTCTTGTTGGCTGATACTTCTGCAGCTCTGACTCACTGGTTAATTAGATATTTTTGTCTACCATTTCATATAATCATAGAGAGTCTAAATGTAGAAAGATGTTAGACATTATATCCCACCTTCTGCTAATGCACAATTGCTCCCTACAATATATTTCAGAGCATTTCTTTCTTTTTTGCTTTAGCTATTTCCATTTCCCCCAAAGTAATACATTGCTAATACTGGTGAGTGGGGCTGTAGGTAGAAAGAAGCTGAAATGGAGCTTGTAGTTAACTAATTTTGCATGTAGCTTTTGTGGGAGTGACCAATCTTCGCATAAAACAAAATGCTACATTTCTAAAAGTGTTCAGTGTAAACCAGATTAAATTTGACATTCTATAAAGTGAAAATAAAACAAGAATTTGCCTTCTGTAAATACTGAAATAACAATACTTTGAAGATATAACTATCGATTTCTAGTGAAGTTCTCCTAAAATAACTGCTGCTGTTTGAATGGTGAATGCTACATTTTAAAAAAATGTTGTGTAAATGATTTAAGCCAATGAAGCAACACAAAGACTGACCACATTTTTAACATAATTGCAAAATATCTCTTTGCTTGTGCTTGCAGCTATAGTAGCTAATTTTGAGATGCATGCAGGGATCTTTGCCTGGGTATTGGAGAGCAGAAATCGAGACTTTAGATATGATTATTTGATATAACAAATATGGTCCCATACAGGTAGTCACAACCTTTGAAATGTGGGTGCATTTTAACATCTTTTACATTTAAAATTAAGCAAAAAGCTTTAGAAATCCAGGATTTCTGATTCAGGTTCCAACAGCTGCTTTTAGTAAAAGCAAAATAAACAAAAAGAAAACCACCCTGCAAGATAGGATATCCTGCATGTGTAAAACTCATAAATCTGTTTTTAAGTCTGTTTTTACAAGTGACATTGTTGCAGGTGAATTTTTCCCTTTTTCATGTCTAATGAAATTGGCGAATGTTGAGTCATCTGCTCCAAGGCAGGAGAGTCCTCAAAGCTCACTGCTTAAATCTGGTGCAGCTGAGACATGTCAGCTGTGTAAACAGATCTGTATGTGTTACTAACAAAAATATAATTAATTTCTATCTGAAATTAGAGGCCATAACTTAATACTTTGAAGATTTAACATTAACGAGAACTATCTGGAAACTTCGACTTGCCAGTTACAAATATTAAGTAATAGTTTATCTGTTTAAGTTGCTCTTTAATTTAATGGCAGATTTTTTTCAATCACTTTTGATTGTACTGTATAGAGTTCTCAGAGTGGTGTATTATATACAAGTATGGTGCTAATTCACAATTAAAGAGCTAAAGGAGGACTTGATTAGAATACTTTTTTCATTTACATTTTATGCAGCATAAGAAATACTTTGTAATACCACAGGAGGTTTTTTCAGTGCAATTCTCGTTAACCTTTGGCTTAGCAAACAGAACAACTAAATAGGCTTCCCATAATTGGATTCCTGTATCATCTTGAGTCTCTTATGAACCAGATAGACTTCAGTCTTCTGGCATTATCAGGAAATTCAGTGAAGTCAATAGTTACTTATACATTGTTGCGTTTAGAGTTAAAATAGGTTCTTTGCTTATAGTTTTAGTACCCCATATTTCTATAAATATCTGAATTGTCAATAACTCTTCCAGTTCTTTTTGCACACTTTCACCAGGGAACTAGGTATCTAAAGCTCTACAAATAGGGGAATGTTTTCATGCTGTGACAGTTTAACTGTGAGAAACAAGACACATACAAGCCTGCAGAAATCTCATTTTACACTTTTAACAAGGACACATTTTTAGTTACAAGAGGGTATAAATAATTTTAACACTGTGAATTATGTTTGTTTGCATTTTAATTAGAGGAACAATGTTAATGTATGAGGTTTTTTAAATCATGTTTTCTATTTTGGGGGGGTGTTACTTATGGAACAAAATTAATATTAAAGATTGTAGTGTTCTTGATCTATTTTTCTGATATTTACCATTCTTTGCGATTGATTGATGCAATGCACTTTTAGAAATTAGGGTAGAATGTTTAAAAATTAATGGTTCATTGTAAATAAGTTATCAGGGAGTGCAAAATGTTTATTTTAACTTCTGGTGATTGTACAGATCTAAACATTACACATCTTGTAAAGTCAGAACCAAGACAGAATATTCCACCTAAAGCTGTGTAAAATGTGCTACACTTGCTTTTGTTATATGAGCATATATGAACTTTTAAGATTGTTCTGATAGTTGTCATAGTTGCCCATTTAAATTAACACTAACTTTATAAAAATTACCCTCAAGATCAATACTCTAGTATTTTAGTAAGAGTTTTCAAATGCTAAAATATTGTGATTTTCTTTACATTAAAAAAGAAAAAAATTCATACTAATTTTCCAGGAGTCTCTTATCTCATCTGGTTACCTATGAACATTTAGGTTGAAATCTTGGCCCCGTTGAAGTCAGTGGGCTTTCCGTGTATTTCATTGGGACCAGAATTTCATCCCCGATTTTTGTGTTACTTTCACTTACCTGAAACCACTAGTACCCAGTGGTTATTTTGTTACCAAAGTTATTCCTGGTCATGTCACTAGACAGTTTGAGATAAGCCGTTCCTAGAAAGGAGTTCACTGTTTTGCTTAAGACAAGTCATCCCAATATGGCTATGAGGAAGATCTGCTTTCCCCATAAACGGCAATAGATGATTTCTCAAAGTGAAATTCAACCCTGTGTAGAAATATACACAAAGCCTATGCACTACTTAAATCCAATGTTTCCAATTCCTAAGAATTTATCTCAGGTAATTGGCCTCTAATGTGTGAGCTCTTGTGAAAATACAGAAATCTCCTGGCTTTGTGATTTGGGGGAAACAAACTGAGAGAGAGAAAAGGAGCTGGCTTCTCCTACACAATGCCCCATTGCCAAAGGGAATGCGTACTGAGCTGCAAGCCAGGATTTGAGGAGTGCTAGTCCTACCTCTTCTACTGACTGCTGTTAATGTTTCTGTGCCCTCCAAGGCCCCATATCTCTATGTTAGGAGATGTAACAATCCTTTACCTATTATACAGATAAAAATAACTGACAGCTTGCACAAGTTGGGAATAGACCCCCAACTCCCACCCCAACCCCTAATAGAACAGTGCCAAGTCTGATGCACGTTGACACCTTGTTGTTCAGAAGGAACATGCTAAATTATGTACTTGTGTAACCCACACTAACACAGTGTGGCTTGGTGTCACCTTCCAGGGGTTAGACCACATATGGAGGTTTATGATGGTTGCTGTCTTCATGCTAACAGATCTGGTTCTTTAGGTAAACATACAGATTAGTGTTTTTGGATCTAGAATTCCCTGGTTCATTCTCCACAGATGATCCAAAATTTTTTGTTACATATAGCTACTTTGTCTTCCTACTTGATCATGCTTTGCCTCCAGAGCCAGGAATCAACACCAGGAATGCTGATGCCCAGTATTCCAGTGCTGACTCACAAATAGTTGAGTCAAGTATCAGAGGGGTAGCCATGTTAGTCTGAATCTGTAAAAAGCAACAGAGGGTCCTGTGGCACCTTTAAGACTAACAGAAGTATTGGGAGCATAAGCTTTCGTGGGTAAGAACCTCACTTCTTCAGATGCAAGTAATGGAAATTTCCAGAGGCAGGTATAAATCAGTATGGAGATAACGAGGTTAGTTCAATCAGGGAGGGTGAGGTGCTCTGCTAGCAGTTGAGGTGTGAACACCAAGGGAGGAGAAACTGCTTCTGTAGTTGGATAGCCATTCACAGTCTTTGTTTAATCCTGATCTGATGGTGTCAAATTTGCAAATGAACTGGAGCTCAGCAGTTTCTCTTTGGAGTCTGGTCCTGAAGTCTTTTTGCTGTAAGATGGCTTCTTTTACGTCTGCTATTGTGTGGCCAGGGAGGTTGAAGTGTTCTCCTACAGGTTTTTGTATATTGCCATTCCTGATATCTGACTTGTGTCCATTTATCCTCTTGCGTAGTGACTGTCCAGTTTGGCCAATGTACATAGCAGAGGGGCATTGCTGCAACATGATGGCATATATAACATTGGTGGACGTGCAGGTGAATGAGCCGGTGATGTTGTAGCTGATCTGGTTAGGTCCTTTGATGGTGTTGCTGGTATAGATATGTGGGCAGAGTTGGCATCGAGGTTTGTTGCATGGATTGGTTCCTGAGTTAGAGTTGTTATGGTGCGGTGCGTGGTTGCTGGTGAGAATATGCAATAGTTATTAGTTAATAGAGAATAACAAATAGTTGAGTGACCC